AACCGGGTGTAATAATTATACAAGTGTTTATTGATAACAGAGAACCGAGCCCTTTCCTTTGGCGCAAGTTGTTCGAATATTTCCGCAATCGTCTCATCCGACAACATTCCATGGGATTCTCCGACGAGCAATTTTTTATTACCACCGTTCAGCTTCATTATATAAAACAGGAATGGAAATTTAAAACTACCAAATACTTTTAAACAATCAGCAACTAGTCATCCTTTTCTTTCAATTATCTTTTTTTGAATGCAAACTGTAATTTCGATTTAAAATTCGAATATCCATGGGATGGACTAGCAAGTGCAGCATGCAAAATGACTTTCAGAATTCAATGAGACACTACTTTCTATACTTGTGATAATTATAACCAATTGTCATTATCCTTTTTAGTGTAATTTAACTATTGTAGTGTTATCATAATGCTGACAATACTACTGGCTGTTATTTGTGGAGAAGAAATCTTCTGATGATCGATCTGATCTACTTAACTAATGATCTGGTAATACTATTTTCTGATCTGATCTGATAAAATAAGAAATACTATTGCAAGAGAATGACAGAAAGAAGTGGAATATTTGTGAAACCAGCCTTCCGGAATTCCCAAGTTACTTGAAGTGCTAAACGAAAAGTGTTGCAGTCATGAGAATTATTTTCCTTCACACGGGTAACTTTATGATTTTACCTACCATAAGCATGGTTGGGCATGAACAATGAGTTTTAAAAAATGTGTGCATTCTCGTATGTGACGAAGTATTCAGTTCTCGCCCCTATATTTTTCCTAATTCTCATGAAAAAAACTAAAAACTATTTCACGTTCAAGTAAGGAAGTTCCCAAACGCTGAAAGTCGTTTGATATATTTCAAATGTGAAATGTACGATCAAATTAAAATAACAATCGAACTGAAAATTTGGTGGTATTCGATAGTTTCAAATTTTCAATCTTGTTTTATAAAATGAGACCGAACGGTGGCCATGAAATAAGCGATCCCGATTAATTTTCAAGGCAACTCTTTCGAATTGTCAGATAACATAAAATCGAGGAAAAATGAATGAAATTGTGGCCAAATATTATAGTGCAAAGAAGTCAAAATAGCCTTGCTGCTCGAAGTCCCAGAGTAAAACAATGTTTCCCTTCCGTTCACATGACAAATAAGCCTTGGACCCTCTCAGTTCGTATTAGAATTCAGCAAACACTTGATGGCAACCACTGTTTGACAGTTAATAATAAGATTGACAAAAAAAAAAAAATGCAACTAACCGAAAAAGAAGTAAATATACGATGATTTTAGTAAAAAATGAATAAAAACGAAAATTTTGAACCCTCAAAAAGAGAAAAACTTTTCCACATCGACGGAAAAGACTTTGGGCGTTATTGTTTAATGTCGTGTTGGTGGTTAAAAGAAAATGAATTCTATTTGTATGGGATCAATTTTCTCGCTCTGAACTGTATATTCAACTCTAGTTGAATTGAAAATGTCAACTTTGATGGATTCTCATTAACATGATCAAAATCTTTTTCCTTTAGAATTAAAATGGAGCTAAGGTTTTATACTTGGCTACAATCTTTTTTCGACTTAATATGTCTCAGTTCACCTGTTGATTTGTATAGATGTAAAGGTGGACTTGAGCATAATGTTAACAAATTGATATTATTCTGAATCAAATTAACTTACGTGAGGTGGTGTTTCGAATTTTTCATTTGATAAATTTATTTCAAGTTTTATTAAATTGGAGTTATACCGGTTATGTAAAGGGGAAATAAAATATATTTTGGACGAAAAGGTGATGTGGAAGAGCCAAAAATTTAGGTCACGGGTGAATGAGCAGAAATGGATGGAAAAGACAGATGTCCCAGTTTCCTCCTTCATTGCTCTTTTTATATGTGTGCTTTATTTCATACGCTGTTGTTTTTTATCTAATCTATCTATGAAAAAGACATGTTATAATTTCGAAATTTAATTTCTAAAGCCGTAAATATTTGTTGAAGCCAAAGAAACAAAATGGCATTGAAGCCCAAAATATATTGTTTTATGTTGGAATCCTAGAATGGCTGTACTGCTGTATTCAGTAATAATCAGAATTGTAATGAATCAATAAATTTAATTTCCAATATAATCTGATTTCAAAATAAATGAAAATGAAGTGTAAGGTCTGACTGCGAGACATTTTATCAGTACTCAAATATAAGTCCGTTACGGAGGACTAATTATTCCTGGGGGAAGGAGAAAGTAAACGATTGAAATGTACTTAGAATACTGTCGCCACGTGGTTGACTGTATTGTAGGTAGAGTAGGAACTCTTGCAAAGTAACTAACTGAGTTAACTTGGACGAAGGATAGTTGTTACTGCAACTACTGCCATTGCCAATAACAAATGGGCTACCTATAACAGCTCTCCGCTTTTTTCATTATAAGAAAGGGCAAGAAGGATAGACTACGTTCCCGTCTGCCCTTTATTTCAACATTTTCGGATTATATCAATCACTTCCTCTCCCCCTCTATCTCTCTCACTCTCTCCCAACTTTGCTTTTCTCTTTAGATTTGTTCATATTGATTTCATTTAACTATCGGCAAGGTCTCTTTCCAATTATCAAATTTCTTCCTTTGTTAATTGAACAGTTTATTTTCAGTAATCCTTTATAGCAATCTCACATCTCTCTTATCTTTCTTCGAATTTTGTGCTTTTAGATAAAGTCATTGTCCGATTTAAAATCATTTCCATAGTTTTATTTTCTTCCAAGGAAAGAGACCTAACATACAAAGAAGGCTCATATCAAATGATATTAAACCGCGCATTGATGCAAATTTTTGTAATCGTCTTCAATTAAATTGCAATAGGTAATGAATAGCAGAGGTAATAAATTGAGTCATCCAGATTATAATGAATTTGAATAAATCAAATGTTAACGTTTTGCAAGAATTGTACTATTTCTTTTATTACAACATATTTGTTCGGAAAGCTTCGAGATATCTTCAGCATACGGTATTCTGGTACTTGCTGTTTTCCGAAGCCAATGATGATAGCTGTTGTGGTGTTTATCTTAGCACTACAGAGTGCTGCACATGCAGATTTGTTTACATCGGTCGCAGAAATGGAGTTACTTCTGGAAGCTGAAAAAGGAATTCCTGATTTGCTGGATATGTACATCGAAAGGTTCCAGCTACGTTTGAATGAAATCAAACAGTTGGTTTTGTTCGTATGTATTTGAAGGTTAAATTTTTAGATGTTTTTAAAATACTGCAGCAGTTGAATTATAACAAACAAGTGTTCCCTGGTGTCGAAATATGTCCCCTGTCCACTTCGATAATTTTACTAGGTTTACTATGAGCTATTCCACTCCATCTGTTTCAAAAATAAGCTTAAGTGGTGAAGGGGCTTATCGATTACCAGAAGAACATGAATTCAGTCTCGCTTCGTGAACTGCAAGTTTCTTAGATCTCTCAGATTTTATTTTTGCTTTTCAGGCTTTCAATGGGAAAAAAACACCGAAACGATCATAGCCTGGGAAATGATATGCGAGTGCTAAGCAATCCAATCAGTGCTTATCTACTTATCAAAAGACTGATTGAGGAATGGAATAATATAAAACGGTTGGCAGGAAGTGATATTGGTGAAGAGTTGTTAAAGGAAATTTCAGAATTGCGAGCAGTGAATTATGTGAAAAACCCCACTATGGTACTCCTTCTGCGTAAATTTGGTCCTTAACTTATCCCACTTTGTGATATTGGCATATTATTTCTCAATTCTATAATTTGCATGAGAAGGAAAGTTCATATCACATCTGTGAATTATGTATGATTTGGGAAGACTTATGGGATGAATTTCCAATAGTTTTTAATACAAAATGGGACATTGACCTCTGACTGCCAAGAAAGAAATTTTTAAGGAAGATTTGGATGGAGCTGCGATAGCCTTACTTCGGCTGCAAGATACCTATCGGCTGAATGTTAAAGAGATAGCTGACGGGAAAATTCTGAATGCTTCTGTGGTCCAACCATTTACAGGTTTGAAAACAAATGTTTTGTGAAGTGAAAACTCCATTCCTTATATTTCGAGCAGTTCTGATCCTTACCCTTATAAATGTTTTGTAATGTCGGATAAGTTTTTAGTTGTCTGCTAAAATGGAGTCCAGGAGTTCAGTCAGGTGTCAAATCCTACTATTAAACTTGAAGGCAAAATGGGTGAATGAAGAGTTTGTAATTATTTGAAAGTGTATTTGTTGTTATTTTTTCTTCTGACTATCGAAAAAGTTTCGGATCCATAAAGATTATTATATGTAAAATATGAAAAGGACATTTGAATAAGATATAAATAAGCACATATGACTGTTTTTTGTTTTAATTAGTATTTTTCTTCAGAATATAGAGAGATTATGAGTCAAGACGAACTATTTTTCTAAGAATTTTATGTACGAATTTTATATAAAAGAAGGAAAATTTAATAAGTTTCCAGCCAGGGATTGTTTTGATATTGGTCGAGCAGCATACAATGTGAATGACTATTACCATACCGTAATATGGATGGAAGAGGCACAGGAACGGTTGCGGACTGAAATGCCGCACGAAACTGTGCAATTAAAGGAAATTTTGGAATATTTGGCTTTTGCGCTGTTCAAACAAGGTAATCTGAAACGCGCCCTACTGCTTACTGAACAGCTGTATACAATTGGTAATTTTTTACTATATCTCATGGCGTTAATTACTTGAATTTAATTTCAAATTTTGAAATTGGATTAGTCAAGTATCACATTCTATTTCACTAGGTTATCTGTCGAAAATTTGTAGTGGTATATTTTATAGAAACGAAAAAACAAAATATAAAAAGCTAAGGGGGTCGGATTCAAATTTAGGTCAGGCCATTTTTCTTAATTAACGCTCACGATCAAATAATATTTCTCTTCATCACAGATCCAAATCATCCGCGGGCAAGGAACAACATTAAATGGTATGAGGACTTGTTGGCGGAGGATGGTGTAAAGCCGATTGACTATCGACGAAATATCCCCCCGGTAACTAATCCCCGGCCTAAGAATGGCTTGAAGACAACGGAACATGACATGTACGAAGCCTTATGTAGGAATGAAGTACCCGTGGTAATTTTTGTATCTTGCTCACATTTGAACAAAACTGTTTCGGTAAACATTGACAAATAACTCATTGAAAATCCAAAATAGAAAGTATATGTTGTCAGGTGGTTAATCCACTTCTTATAGCCCAGTCAAGAAGTAAAATTAAAAGTGGTAGTAAAACTGCTAACACAGTTCCATTCGGAAAATCGATGATCAGCCGTTGTTCGGATTTTGCTGTGTGCAATTGGCTTACCTCATAATAAACATAAAAAGTGTCCAGAGGACAAAAATTTATGCAAATGATAAACGGTTTGATCTAAGACATTTTTCAAACGTTTAAAAGTTTCAAAAAATAGTTGTATGCCTCTTACTCTTGACTCGTTGCGATTTCTAGGCAAAAAAAAAGTGATGAATTTCTGTTAGATTCTGAAATTCCTGAATCTTTATTTGGGAGATTTCCTGCACCCATCTGCGCTTCACTGTTATTTTTTAACTTTTATTTTCTCAGTTGAAACAGAAATTTTCAGAGCGTTAAAGCAACTTCAAAACTGTACTGCTACTACAAAATGGATCGTCCATTCTTGCGTTTGGCTCCTTTCAAAGTCGAGATTTTGAGATTCAGTCCGCTTGCCGTATTCTTTCGTGATGTTATCACAGACGAAGAAGTGACAATAATTCAGATGTTGGCGACACCAAGAGTATCCATTATTTTAATAAACATATTAATACTGATTTTTCTTTGTATTTCATTCCTGTACTATCTTATACAGAATTTTTAAGAGACATTCCTTGCAAATCAGTTATAAGGATTTTTAGAATCGAAATTCAACTTCTTTTCTAATTTTTGTTCTCTACCTTCTTATCTCGTATTATATTTATTATTCTTACAGTTGCGAAGAGCTACTGTGCAAAACTCAATAACTGGTGAACTTGAAACAGCGTCATACCGAACAAGTAAAAGGTTAGTTGAATACTCGATTACGTTCATAGTTTGATAGTTTTCTTAAATTTAAAAAAGTAATATAACGGAAAAAAAGAACCTGTGAAAGTTCTCGGAAAGGTATGGTGGTCAATGTAGGCAAACGAGAGGAAAAAAAGGGAAATGAGACTTCATTAACCATTTTTGCGATATATCCAAATAGGCTTGAATGCTTGAAAAAAATTAAAAAATTTTAAAACTTTCATTATTTTGTGACTTTTATGAAATTATTTCAATATTTTTCACGTTATTCATTTGTAAGAAGTACGATTCAACAGAGAAAAGCGAATGATTTGTTCATTTATTTATAGCGCATGGCTGAAAGACGAGGAACACGAAATTGTCCATCGAATCAATAGAAGAATTGATCTGATGACTAATTTGGAGCAAGAGACTTCAGAGGAATTGCAGGTTTGTTACTCTACTCAAAGTACGAACTTCAAAGTTCACTAGTTAATATTTCATGCATGCCACGCTTACTTTTCTGCTACTGAGTTCCCAAATTCCACACCTATAATTTACATTTTTATGATAGATCACTATCCAAAAATTTTATTCCTTAATGGCAGTTTTCTTTTGAAGAGATTTCTGACATTGCAGTATTGCTATAAGATTGATCAGATACTGTTTAATTCTGGCAAGAACTGTAGTCATCATAGTGACAATGCTTTTTTTATACAGTAGTTTTTACTACTTTGTTTTTTTCATGAAATAAATGTTAGGTTGGAAATTATGGTATTGGTGGTCATTACGATCCTCATTTTGACTTTGCAAGAGTAAGTTTTGTTGTTTTTGATTAATCAAAAGCTTTTTTAAGTTTTCCAACACTAATTTGTTTTTTTCATTATTGCACTGAATACTTTATCACGCTGAAATAATGTCACATTCATCTAGAGGGAGGAGGTGAACGCTTTTCAATCGCTCAACACGGGAAACCGTTTGGCAACATTGTTATTTTATGTGAGTATTCTGTTGATATTAGAAAAAAATGTAATGGTTTTTAAAGATATTTAAAAAGCCTAAAAAAGTCTAGAAAAAAAAAGAAATGTTCGTCGCTAATTTCTGTGAAGTTTTAATTCCGTGAAGTTCAAACCTTCCAAGGTCACTCGATTTAACTTTGATGCGTTTTAAATTTCTCAAATTTAAAGTTTTTAAATATCTTTTCAAATTTCCAGTTTGCTTTTGGTTTAACTTTTTCGGACCCTTGAGTTTCTTCAGCTTATAACTACTGCTGAAACAGTTTGCTTCTTAGATGGGAATTTTCTAAAAAGGAAAAAATCTACAGATGACGCAGCCTGAATCAGGAGGTGCCACCGTATTTACCGAAGTCAAAACAACAGTTATGCCTTCCAAAGTTAGTTATTTCTGTGATTTGGTCAATATTGACATTTAAAACTCCTATCATTCTGATTGAGAAATGGCGATCAAATTAGAAAATTGAAGATTAAATTTGAGTAAAATTGAAGATTAAATTTGAGTAAAATTTTTTCAAGTAACTCTTGACTCCTAAATTTAAAATTTTCCTGATTTTAAAACTATGAAGGATCAAATTCTTGAATTAAAAAAATTTTCCTTATGTAGAACGATGCACTATTTTGGTATAATCTGTTGCGCAGTGGTGAGGGTGACTTAAGAACGCGTCACGCTGCATGTCCTGTATTAATCGGTTCGAAATGGGTCTCAAACAAATGGATACATGAACGTGGCCAAGAATTTCGAAGGCCTTGTGGCTTAAGCCGATCAGTGGAGGAACGGTTTGTCGGCGATCTAGGTGCATAAATACTATTGGAAAGTTCAAGTACATTAAAAACTTAGCTAAGAATTTATGTATTATGTTTCTAAGCTACAATGTAACTGTTATATTTATATCAGTTGTCTATCAGTTGCACTGGCATCACGTTATTTTAAAAAAATTCATATGTATTACAGAATGGATTTGCTCCTCCAATTGATTTATGTACATACAGTGCTTAAAATGTGAATTAAATACTGTAAAACTTTTGATTCTTTCGAAGTAATTTCAATGTAGTTCACTTCACAACTAGAAAAAGATAATTTGAACGGCCTTGTTGTTTCATATTTTGCTCAAGAAAAAAAGTTATTTCTTCTCGGATAAGGTAATAACCTTTTTTTTTTCAATTGTGATATTTCGTAACATCTTTCGTGTCGTAGTAGGCTAATGGTTGTTATATTTAAATGAATTGCAAATCATATAACTAAAGGACAGAATGAACTGTGATGTCCTTTGTAATGTTTTTTTTTTTTATATATCCCAATCCCAAGTTTGCGACGGTGTACGGGATATGAAGTCTTAATATTGATGACACGTTCTGTGCAGGTCAGATTTGTCTTCGGTGAATTTTAGAAAACAAAGTGAAACACCATAGGATTCTTAGAAACACAGCTTCCGTTGCAGCTGTTAGTTAGTTCGTTATAATTCATTCTTTTAGCAGATTCAAACATCGATTTATCTTTCGTGGGATGTGAAGACTTCCTGCAGATTTTGAATGGATGTCTACTTTTTAGCAACTCGCATTTCTCATTAAATACTTCTCTCGTGTTACGTGTCAAGTAAATTCATCATATAAAAATTGATTTTCTTTCGTTCATATATGTACTTTGCTTTTCCATACAAAACCTAAAGTCTATAGCGAAGAAATGTAAACTTCCTTGTTTCCGTATGAAGCCTATACTCTGTTGCCTCAAGATTTATCAGATATTTGTATTTTTGCATGATTCGATCATTTCTGTATTTGCTTAATAAACCACTTTTCCATTTTATAATCAATACTTGATATATTTCGGTTTCTTTTTACTTCACTCAAAACTTCACTTTTATTAAGAGATTTTCAAGAAGTACTTCTAGGAATTTAAGCTTTAAATATCTTCAGAGAAGATGTATACCTCGAGTCTTCTGATTTAAGTCAAATTTTTCATGAAACACAAAAGAGTTTTTCAATCTTAGCAGACTTTTATTTTTCAGAAATATGCTTTGATAAGGATGCATATTTTAAACTGAGGCATTTTAAAGTAACACTCGATCACCTCCACATTCTCATTCCTTATATCTCCTTGTTTGATCCCTTTTTGTCCTTTAGAATATTTTAGATCTGATGATAATTTAAAAAGAAAATGAACGACCAAAAACCATAGGCTAATGAGGTAAGGATGTTGATGGAGACAGGCGATACGTGGTATTGATTTTGATGGATTTCAAAGGGGTTAGTGAAGATCCTCGAGGATGTGGTTCACTGTTTTTAAATTTAAGAAAGAATTTTCTTGTAGGATAATACTTTAAAGTTGTCATCATGTGCCCCTTGAAGGAAAGCAATTTGTTCCTAGCAAATAAAAGCTATCTCCCACCAAACGAAAAAAGGAGAAGCTACATAAGTAAAAGAAAAAGAAATATGGTCTGCTAATTATAATGAGTGACCTTGGACTGGGACTAGAAATTATTCAATACGAGCCAACTTTAGTTAACTATGGTATGCGCAGAAATGCGCCAAGTTTCGTTCCAGTACCTCTGATTACCGTTCATACTCCTTCTACGGACGTAATATAATTGAAATGAATCCAAGCAGAGGACGCAACAAGATCTTTATATCAATAGTAAATCCCCATACGTCATGCGATCATCTATATATTAATTTCATGTTACAGATCATTCCCCAAGTTTTGACTTTATTCTCCAAGCTTTGATCTTCCATGCTGTGTAAAAAAGTGTAATGGTAAATTTCCGCAGTTGCAAACAGAATTTTAGAACTCCTAGCAAAGATGTAAGGAAGAATATAAAGATTTGGTGAAGAATGGCAGTTGAGCATCTGGAAGTCCAGTTAGTATCATTAGTCAGTCTCGATGATAAATGCATTTATCATCGAGACTGACTAATGATACTAACTGTTATTACAATAACTAAATAACACATGGCACAAAGTCTTCAAGGCGTCCGTAAAAGCTTTTATGGCATTTTCTCTTCCTCTGAAACATCATCGATGAGTTAGTTGCTTCTTTTTGCATCCACTCTACATAAAATTTCTACCCTCAAGAAGTTTTAGTTCTGCTTGAAGTATTTTCATTATTGAATACGAAGACTTTTAAATGAAATACATTCTAGGATCATGGATAGCACGTGATATGGGATGTGTAAACTAAAGTCGGAATCTTCTCTGTATCCATGGAAAATGATTCTTCTTCCCTACGATCATTTATCTGTGCAAAAATCCATATAAGCAGAAGAAGTTAGTTTCAGCTAAAGTTTGGCACTGTATTTCTTCCACTTTCCTTTCATTTCATTTTTAAAGTTCTTTTTTTCTGTTACTTTATATGAATAATAACAATGTTATAAAATCCACGATTTGACCATATTTGCATTATATTTTATATTGAAATAAAGCTCACATGTCGTTTTCATTTTAATTAAATCGAATTTTAGACAATGCCACTGACTTAGATCTTAGACTGATCTTTTTTATTTAATTGACATAGTCAAAACCAGTCAGTCATAAATATTGTCAAAGAATATGAATGAATTTTCATTGGTTCAACAATAGTTTTGTTGGTTAACAACTTTTGTTTACGTACTTATCATACCTATCATAAATTTCCTCGTAATGCTTCATCAGTTGATCGAGTGATTAAATTATTACAGCTTATGAAGCTATCAGATGAGTTATCATAGGTGATGCATTTTGAAAGACGAACTCGGTCCAAAAACATCTCGATAACATTCATTAGTATAGAGTTGCTTGAGAGATCTTAGTGAATTATAGTATATGGTTGCTTTTCTCATCGAATAGAGAAACCGATGTGGAAAGATTTTTTTGTCGTTTTCTGATTGCTCGTTTAAGTTCAATTTGCTTTTATTCCCTCTTCTTTAATGCTAACAAAACATTTTAAATAAACTATTTCCCCCTGCTCAAATTTATTGTTTTTTACCTATTTGATCTTCTTGGATCATTTTTCTGATAATTCTTTAACAATGGACTTCTTTAGATATTACTGTCGTGGAAATAAGATTAAAAACTGGTAAATGTGATTTAGGAGAAGCTGCAAAACATTAAAATATTTTATTTTGCATAACACTGTTATGCAAAATAAAATATTTTGTTATGCAAAATAAAATATTTTAATGTTATGCAACTTTTTTTAATTGCAATTTTCGAAGATTGTGATTATAAAATATTTATTGTGAAGAAGCACTTATGATGTCGATAAAATGAGATATTATTATTTCAATTAAAAAATGCCATAAAATTAAATATTGCAAACAACTGAAAAGTAAAAAAGAAAAGAGTTTGTTTTTTCGTTATTAGGTTCCTTTCGTCACTCTTTCTAATAACATTTAACTGTGTGAAGTTTGTGACCTCTCTGAAATGAAAGATGATAAAAAGGCAAAGAAGTGAAATGGTACAAATATACAATCAGTCCAAAATGACTTCTGTATTACTTTTTCTTAACACTCTTTGCATTCCTTCTCCTCCTCTGTTTACCACATTTCATTTTGTTAATTTTTAATTTTAGATTGTAATTATGATTTAAAATTTTATTGCATTAACAATGGTTTTTAAATCTTAAACAAATCCTTATTCTAAATGTTGCAAATAAGCAAGTCTTAAACGGTAATTGTGCTTTCGTAGAATGAAAAACGCCCTTAACACTATTGTCAATTACCTATCTCTTTTCTTTAATATATCGAAGTGAATAGCGCATATTGTAAGTATTATGAATAATCATTTCCATAACATGTTATTTAGTTACATTGTTAGCCATTATTATTTGGAAGCTTTTTTAAGATAACTCAGCAACGGCCCAACAAAGCTACGGAATTGAAAAACATGAAAACTTAACTACCACATGTCATTTCAATATTCCAAGCCATTCAGACCAGTGGCTCCAGCTTCTTTGTTCAAATTCCAATCAAGAAAATCGAATGAAAAATCATAAAAGTTGACTGTGGTGTTACCTTATTAACTTAGCTTCTTATTTTAGTTCCATGCTATCTGTCAACACCATCGTTTAATATTTTACATCTCTTCGTTGATACAAAAAAGAAACATTATTAATGTATCCAAGCTAAGTCAATATATCCAAGCTTTCTGTGAGAAATGAATCTTCATCTTCAAATTATTATTTTATGAAGTGGGAGAATTTCGTAAAAGTAAACACTAAGCAAAGTGTGGTTTCGGAAACATCTTCGGAAACTTAACTTTGTAGAATATTTTATGAATCAAACCTACCCAACGGTATGGCGGCGTAAATTATTAAATACTGATTGGCTCCTTTAACTGCTCCGACACTTCAGTTAAGAATGTTTTAAATTTTTACTAGACATGTCAAGTTTAAAAGTAAAGTTTTAAGTTGCTTAAGTGGCACAAAAACAGATGTGCTATTGTCTAGGAAGTAACCAGTCATAAGAGATTTTAGTTTTAAAAACTTCTGTTTTACAATCTTCACGTATTCCGCTATGCATGTCTTTATTTTTTGTGCTGAACACCGTTCTTGCCGGCAACCATTTATGCTGTTTATTTGGAGTATGCTGGCGATAAGAATAGTGATGTACCGCTGACTTTCGTCTGCTTAATGTATTTTATCCATGCTCTGCCCCTTCCTAATTCTGCTATTAATTGGATTTTATATGGTTTGTGCTTAAATTTCCTTAAATTTTCTTCTCAAAACTTTTCTTTCCACTTCAGTATTTTGAAACCCAAGCTGGTTCTTTCATAGCACTCTAATCCAGTCAGTCTGCTTGCCAAACTGCAAACGAAACAATCATTTAATTGCAATCTGACTCCAAACCATCTCATATCAAACCATTTGGATGTAAGTAATCAGTATCATTATACTGTGGAGACAAATTTCGAAGTTATAAATTCCTAGACAGCTCGAAATTAAGCAAGTCTATAACTACTTTTAGCCAACAATATAAAAAGCAAGCAAATAATACCATGTAAGTAAGGAGTTCATGCTTCAAGGAGTTTCTCATCAAATGGCAATTCGTTTATAAATGATACATCAATTCGGCAATTAAAGTCAAAAAACACGCTTCCTGGATAGATGATTGGAATAATGTTGAAAGGCTTTCGAATTAGTTCAGTCATTTTTTTTGAGTATAAAAAAAATGACTGGTTATTTAAGTAAATTTCATTTATCGCATATTTCAAACTATCCACTGCATTTTTTTGCGAGAAAAAAAAGCAATTATTACCAGGATTAAAGCTCATTTGCATTTTGTACGTTGTTTTCGCGTTCTGTCGATAAATTTGATGCCCTGCATTCTCAGCTAATTCCTGTTTTTAGCTTTTTGGATTATGTGGAACTCAGTGTCAATTCTATGAACTCTTTTGAGTTCGTTCAGTACTATATTTACCACATCGAGGAATCTTCCAGTATTTTATGTGGAAGATAAAATTTCGTAACTTACAGTTAGCTTACGGTGAAAATATAGAAGATGGGACAGAAAAATCCGTGATATTTGAAAGGGAAAATGGGTTAATTAGTTTTCACCATGGAAACTTTCAGAATTCCTTGCGTAAGACTTATCACCCTGAGATAATCACATAGAGTGAAGAATTACTTATTCATCTGAAATAATTTTCTCAGTTTTCAACAGATGAAAAATAAATATTAGAAGGCAGAGTTAAACTCAAATTAGCACCGTAGATTTTATTGGGTAACTGCTCCGCCATTAATAAGTTTGATTCCAGATGCATTGAATGGACAGTTACAAACGCGCACAATGTCAAATAATTCCAACAGTTTAACAAACTTGGCAGAACCGTCAGGATTGACATCAGTAATTCAGAAGCATCAGGAAGGAAAAACAACTGGGAAGGGTAAAGACGTATCATTTTCTTGAATGGATTCCTACAAAACTCCATAGTGATGATCATCTCCCAAATGTCTTTAGATGTTTCTCGGCTTGCTTAGAGCTACCAGAAGTATATTAAACTAGCTTCCGATGCACCTAGTATTCCTCGCACATAACAATGAAGTAAGAAAATTTCACGGTAATCTCCTAAAGGTTTCTAAAAATTTTGATAAAAAAGGAAAAGGATATCAAAAATATATAAGAAATGGAACATTTAAGAATAAGCTATCAAGAAAGCAGTTAAAAAATGAGATTTCTTAGGAAGGGACAAAAAGCGGTTTCTTCACTCTCTCATTCTAACTTTTCATATCAACGATCAATTCAATAATCCACCTAACATATTTTACATGAAAGTGCTAAGTATGAAAATCAATATTTCGAAGAGGGGGGGAGGGCAAATTAAGTTCATATTAACAGCTGTAACATATATGAGTAGCGCATAGTATTGCCTGTCTCTTTTATCCCCAACCATGAGCTAAATCTGCATGAAGTTAACACTGAAACAATACAGGTTATTCAGAACCAATGTTAAACACATTCCATTTGATCGCCGAAGGAAAAGAATGAGCAAAGTAGTAGAACTGCAAATGTGTATGAAAAGAAGGCGTGCTTTAGGAAATAATCTGACCGCTTCAAAAGGCCTGAAGTTAGAATAAAAAGGAAAAAAAAAACCAAGTTCAGGAGCTCACACGTCTAGCAGTCTTGTGAATGCAGCAAAAACTTCGACTAATCGACGCAATGGGGAATAAATATTGTTGTTGTCTCCTACAAAACGAGAAAAATCAACCACATGACTGAGCTATTTTTATCTAAGGCTTGTCATATCGAACGAAGCTAAAGGTCAGATTTATTGAGTATTAGGACAAAGTACCTAACCCACCATATCCAATTCAACTGCAATGACATGTAACCATTCCATCTCAACGTGTAGTATGATAAATAACACGAATACTGTCCATTATTAACTTGCAGAGCACCATACCACAGACACACATAACCATTCACATTATTATAAAATCCTTTGTTGGTAAAAATCGAAATATTTTAGTACAAAAATAATGTCGACATTGTAGAGATGTATAGCTCAACTCATGTTGTAAAGTATCGCAACTATTTGCCAGTGATTTGTTATTCTATTTTAACTGCAATACCTGGATTGTAGACACAAAGCCCCTTGCGTTGTTGATGGCGTTATCTGTTTAAAGATATTCCAATATATTAGCTAAGCTTATATTCCATGTCGATTATTGTAACCAACAAAGCTGCTCTATTGCAACTTTTTTCCGGTCTATTAAAGGTAACATATTTTATGGTAATACTGTAAACCATTCCCACTGTATAAATAGGAGGATCGGGGATTTGGATTCATTTCCATTACTACCGTTTCTAGAGGAACAGCGCACTCCGAAATCCTCCAAACCTATCTACAACGACTTTCAAAGCAATTTAGTGGTCGACTCTAACTGTATTATTTGTGATAACTGCTAATTACCTAACGAAAGAATAAACATATCAGACTCTACAAGTCTTCCTCTCAATCAGTCATAGTTGCCAATCGACAAATTCCTGCATGACTCACCTTCAATGAGTTCCCCTTGTTGAAAGAGCTATCAGCGAATATCACGAGTTGTTTTAATTCAGAATACTTCTCAGATGAATGATTTGTTACACAGAATTAATAAAACAAACATTTCAATACCCAAAGTAGTGAATCATTTGTCCAAATCCAACTTCTTCACTTTTTTTAAACAATTTCAATTGCATGTTGCAGATGTTGCAAACAAACTAATGTTGCAAATATAAAATGTTGTTGCAAACAAAATGTTGCATGTTTAAATATTGCAAACAAAGTCCTTTTTTATTAATTTCTTCCATTCTGTTAATCAAACTTACATGCAATTGTCGGAATATTGTAAATTACTTATGTGCAAATGTCGAAATTTTGTAAAGAACATCTAATCTGGTAGCTAAGCCAATGTATCGGAGTCACCCAGTTCGACAGCTCCCGCAGTCACTCAATTTTTAATATCTCACTGAGTTACTTAATTGGACAGCTCGTGTAAGCACTTAAGGAGACAGCATAGTCAGGTACCCAACCATGACAACGATTCAGCGGCAGAGAAGCGGCAACAGCACGAGCCAAAAGACCATTTGGTATCCTTTCATACTTATTGTGTATTGTTCATTTCATTCCTATTATTCTTTCTAGTACGATATTTGTTACCATATCGTA